GTGATGGTGCTGCTCATCTTGCCTGTAACAGCCAGATTCAGCAGTAGAAATGTGCCTCTATAGGCTGCTCTGCCTGTAGCTGTGTCCCTGTGCAGGACAGGATAAAGATCCCCTTGTCAGAGACCCTATGTAGGAGAGGAGCAAGGATTTCATGCAGGAGGTCAGTGGTTAAGACCCAGGAGAAACACATGGTTGGAAAGAGAAATGTGGCACACCCTCTGAACAGTACAAGTCCTTTGGAAATGCTATTTTAAACGTGCAAGCTTCATGTTGCTAGACATGTGCAACCTGTTGTAAAGCATCCTGTGCAAGCAGCTATTTGCAATTTGAGTTCCACAAATGCCTACTAATTCCTAGCTCCCAGCAGTACGGGGAGACTCATTGGGAGCAACAGCAGCAATTGCTTTATCATGTCAAAGGTCTTTGCTCATCATCACAGCAAGAGGCTGATCTGAGAAGACTGAAGCCGAGAAAAAGCCTCCATCCTTCTCAGACAATGAGTCTCTACTAACCAGACACTGTTCATACTCACCTCTTCCTCATCTGAGATGAGGTTTCTTCAGTAGAACCATGAGGTTCATCTCATGATAAAATCAAGTCCCTGAGCCTCAAGAACAATTGACACCATTGCTAGAGAGGTTTCCACCGAAGAGCAGCATGTTAGTTTATGAATTTTCTGTTAGCCATCCTGGATTGCTCTTGTATCCAATTTAAGGATGCTTAAAGAGGGAAGTGGAGCATTCGTTGAAAAGCCCCATCCTAACAAAGCTGTAGCAGACGTTCATTGTACCCCACGCCAGCAAAGCTACTAGCAGCATTGGCTAAACTTTCCTGCTACGAGGCACTGGCTCAGCGGCTCTCAGCAAACCTGGAATCTTGTTGCCAGAACTCCTAAATTCACCATGACAACGTTAAAAGCACTTAGGATTTCTGCACCAAACATGCCTCAGCCAAGCAAGCCCCCCGAGTCCCCTGGCTTCGGGATGCGCCCAGCATCCTACCAGCAATCCAGCAGCAAAGTCTCTCCAGGGATACTGCACTGGGAGAATCTGCCCTCGGAATGGGATTTATAAAAAGTGAGCTCACTTGAGAGAGATGAAAAGGGTGGGGAGGGGAAAAACAAAACCCGAAGAAGGGTGAAAAAAAGTCTTTTTCTTTTCAGAGGTCAAGGAAACGCATTCGGGCTGTGGGGAAACACATCCCCCTGCTCGAACGAGCCATCACCCGGGTCAGGTGCGTCCTCACTGCGCTGGTGGCCAGCAGCTCCACCCAGGCAGTGAAGCAGAGCTCAAAGGACCCAGCAGCTCCTCCCGTCCCTGAAGTAATGCTCACTGCCAGAAAACCACAACTACCAAGCCTATAGGGCAGGATGAACACCTTCTTGCCAAAAAAATAGCAAATTTATCAAAATTATTGTGGGATTTTTTTGTTGTTCATGTACTTGCAAAGCCCATCCTAATTTATGAAGGTTTTTTTTGCCTAGAAAACTTTTTCAGACCAGGTTCAAAGGACTGTCTAAGAGCAAGTGAGTTCAAAACCAGGACAATGGGAACCAGTTGTCTGGATCTTGGTTCCTTCAACCTGAGCTCCAAGCAGAGTTTGGTGCCTCAGTGTCCCCAAGCTGATGTGGTTTCAGTGGGTTTGGGCAGGTCCAGAAGCAGATGTTTTTAGGCAGCTCTGAAAACTTACCTTGTGGACACTTTTGCAAGGCCAGGGGTCACAGGTGGCTATATGATAGCTAAATCTTGGAGTGTTAAATCCAAAAGAACGTATACGTTTAAATCCTTGGAGGCACACAGGAAAGGAGACACTGCTTGGTAGAAACATGAAAGTTAAGAGGAGATCAGGACTCATTGTACAAGAGAAACTTCAATGGTTGGAAACCACTAGTGTCAAACAGAGCTTTAAGCTGAACAAAAGCACGAGCTGGGAGTATCACTGGTTCTGCAGTCGTTTACCAGCTCTAATGATCTGACCTTCACTTCCAAGTGGTGGCAACCACAACAGTACCTACTCAGTGACTTTAGGACTTTAAAACCCAGTAACTCGCGTTCTTCTGAAGAATGTGAACAGTGATCTCAACTCAGACCAAGCTCCTGAGGGAGGGTGCAGCACCCAGCGCCAGCAGAGCTGGGCTCCTTGCCTGCAGGAGGTGGGCACTACTGGAGGGTCCGATTGACCAGGAGCTGTGGCAGGAGGCCAGCAGCCTAGGCACGTCAGAGGTGACGAGGGAGAGGTTAATTGGATTTTCCCTGAAACCCTGCAGCCTTGAGAGCCCAAACCCATCACTGTATGGAAGGAGGGACAGGCAGAGCGACAGCAGCGGAACAGTCCCTGCCATAGGGGACAGAAGCTCCAGCTGCTGACTCAATCTGGTGTCTAGGGAGGTTTGCTGCTCACCAGGCACTTTGATACAGGATGGAGTGCAGAGACCCAGTGGCGAACTGGGTTGGCAAGCTAAGGCAGCAGGGTGGTCCAGGCAGGCGAGACCTTGAAAACAATCAAACAGAAAGGAGAGGCCGCTCTAGATGCCCCTCTGAAGAGCCTGTACACTACACATGCAGCAAGAGGAGCTCGAGGTCTGTGTGCAGTTGCATGGATCAATCACATCGGGATCATGAAGACATGGTAGGACAGCTCACACAGCCAAAGTGTTGCCATGGACGGGTACGGGATCTCCAAGAAGGAGAGTTTGGGAAGGGAAGGCAGGGAAGTCATCCTAGACGTAAGGGAGCAGCAGGACAGCACGGAACTCCAGCTGGGGGTGGACAATGAGCCAGCTGACAGCACATGGGTTAGGAGCAAAGGGGCGACACACATGGATGACATGGCTGTAGGTGTCTGCTACAGACTGTGCAATCAGAAAGACAGACAACTGGAAGAAGCCTCATGTTTGCAGGCCTTGGTCCTCATGGAGGACTTAAATCACTACGATACCTGCTGGAGGTACAACACTGAAAGGCACAAGCAGTCCACAAGGTCTCTGGGATACTGATAACTTCCTGACACAGATATGGAAGAGCTGATGAAGGGGGACTGGTGTACCCATCATACAAAGACAGCTGGAACTGTTCAGCCTTGAGAAGAGAAGGCTCATGGGGACCTTATCAGTGCAAGCTGTGGTGTCTCCATCCTCAGAGATACTCAAAAACCTGACAACATGGCCCTCAGCAACCTGCTCTAGTTGCCCCTGCCTTGAGCAGCGGAGTTGGACTAGATGATGTCCAGAGGTCCTTCCCAACCTCTGCAGTTCTGTGAATTTTAAAAGAATGTGAATTTTGAAGACACAGAAATGGCTACGTCCTTTTTCATGTCCTCATAGCTGAAACTACCTCTACCCATCCAAACATACAACAGTGTTGTGAGACACACCTGAGTGTTGTGAGATGAAGTAATAATAAAGACTACACTAGTGTAACACAAAACATTTGCGAAGGTTTTAATTGGGACATTTACTGGAAAACTCGGATGAGGACAATGTGGAGCATTAACTCCCTAGGAACTAATTCTACACTTTGCAAAGAAAAAAGTTTCAGGAAAGATAAGGAAAACATTATGAAAACCACATAAAAGTCATGACCAGGACCCATAACACAACTAACCTAACATTGATCAGGAGTTGACGTGAAGCATAAATAGTCTTTACAGTTAACCTGCACGTGGATAGACACTCTGAAGACAGACTTTTAAGTTGAATTGATTTTGGCACCGGTGAAAAAGGATGGCTTTTTTTCCCCTCTCAAGCACGTCTACTGTAATTTCAAATAAATACATAAGATTTTAACAGTCTAGTTTTTTTCCACAGGGCTCCCTGAACCATGTGTTTAACTTTGCCACACCAGCAGGTAGACAGTGAAGAGTATCTTCTCCCCCTTCTACTTCCACACTTTGAAGAAGGGAGACTACCTTTTACTTTTCTTACCAGAAGAAATAAAAGAAATTCTTGGAAGATACTAAGACAACTGAAAAGGATGCACATTTAATCCAAGCCTTCAGATCTGCTGAAAAGATCTATCCATGGCACAGCTTTCCTACTGCCCAAATTAGATGCGAATCTCAAAATTCTACCCTCATCTAGAAAGTCCTGCTCCTGCACAGCTGTACTTCAGAGACAGTTACCTTCTACTACCATGCTGAAAGACAGGAATTCATTTTTGTTGACTTGCTGTAATAAAGTTTTATTACAAGCTTAGGGTGTCCTCGGTATGCACTCAATCCTTATAAACATAGATAACTTGGAAAGGGGTATTCAGCCCTTCCTAATACCACTCCATTTTGACGCACGGCAAGATCAAATTAGTATTGCATCTATATTAAGTTAGCTACATAATAAAGAAATGCATATGAATTTGCATTTTTCTGAGGCACAGCAATGCATTTTCTTCTTCAGGAGACAAACCAAACAGCCTCTGCCCTCAGCAGTTAACAAAAAATTAGTCAGTTTTGTGAAAAAATGTAACAATCAAGACTGTTTTGAAGCCCCCAGATTTGTAATTCTGAATTACGTAAACATCTGAAACCACTACTTAATACAGCTTAAGAATCCAAAGCATTTCTATAAAACTATAGAAAATGAAAAATAAATATCTGTTGTTTGGAGCTCATTCAAAATGCTGAACTTAAATATCATTCATTCCTTTTCCAGAGTTCAAAGCACAAACATACATTTACTGTAAAACAACGTATGTACTTTACCTAGGGACAGGTATCTTCAGGTAAGAAGTATTTCACTTATGCATAAAAGAAAGATTTATGATTTCAGACATGATTTTTATATTAAAAATCTTCTATGTGTAACTACTTTAAGACATGCCTTGAGACATATTAACATAAATACCACCATCCAGTCCAGTAAAATTGTACCAAACTGGCTTTAGTTTTTAACCTGTTCAGTGCTAACAGTCCAGAGCTGAGACTCGATGGTCAACTGACCTTTAGAACATACAGATCAACAAAAAATATATTATTGGTTTTATTATTCTCAGGCAGCAAACTTTCCAAAGTCCTTTAATAAACAAAGCCATGTGTTATGTTGCTGGTTCTATCTTGTCTATCTCTTCCTTCTTTGGACTCTCCTCACGGTTTTTGCCCTGTTGCATGGTATACACTGATGGGCCCATCCTTAGGATCTTCCCACTGCCCAAGCACTCGTCGCCCTTGTAGAACACGGCAAACTAGGAGATAAACACAGGGAGAGTCTTTTCAGCAGCTGCAAATGGTATGGTGAGCAATTGCAGGCTGTGCAAGACCTGCTGGACCATGCATGTATTCATTTTCATTTGTTCTGACTAAATCTTAAAAAAAAAGAATAAAAAAACCCTCAAAGGATTTGGTGGCTCACATGAGTGTAAATATAAACATGTCGGTGGAAATTCCATCATGAACTTCTACAAGATTTTTTCAAAACTCTTCAGTTACTGAGGTGGAACGGATTGTATTGGAATGCTTCCTTTCCCAAAGGGGACAACATACATATCATCATCTGCATCTTCACTGGACCTTCTCCAGACAACTCTGCCCAGGCTACAGCTGCACTTCTCAAAATACAAAGGGGACCAAGGACTACTGGAGCAGACCACCTCGAAGGAAGTGACACGGGCTCCCTGATGTGCTCAGCAGGTTCTTGCAGGAGAGGAGGAGCACAAACATCCTGGCCTTGTCTCATTCCCTTGCAGTTACAGGCTCAGAAGACCCTGGGGGCCCCCCCCCTGCCTGTCATCACCTCTGGCTGGACACTCAGCTCACTCCTCTTAAGTGTATCCCTCTTCCATTACAAATTGTTCCCAGACAATTTCCCTCCCAATGTGTCCCACAGGCCCCCAAGTCTTGGTGAAGGAGAGGGAGGGTAGAACGTATGCCGGGAGAGGGCACGTAGAAAATGTCTGAGAATGACTGGTTTACAATGGGATGAAGTATCTTTATATCAGCAGTGTTCAAAGGCATCTCTACACAGTGCCTCTTTTCAGTACTCAGTGCTTTGCTCTGGGACAAGGAAATTCACAGGACACAGATCATCACTAAACAAATCTGAACACTAAAATCACATCCAGCAGTTAATTTCCAAACTAATGCCTTTTTAAAACTCTCATGAAGACAACAACAGATTCCATTTCTGCAAACATAATTGATTACCAGAGATGTTTTCATTACCAGAGATGTTTTCATGTATTTCTAAAACTTGTAAGCCAGTTTCTCAGACTATGGGGATAGTCGTGCCTGACAAATTTGGTGGCTTCCTATGACAGGGTTACAGTGTTGGTGGATAAGAGAAAAGCAATGGACATCATCTACCTGGACTTGTCCAAAGCATTTGACACTGTCCTGCATGACATCCTTGTTTCTAAATTGGAGAGACATGGATTTGATGGATGGACCACTTGGTGGATAAGGAACTGGCTGGGTGGTCGCACTCAAAAAGCTGTGGTCAACGGCTCGATGTCTAAGTGGATGCCAGTGACGAGTGGTGTTCCTCAGCGGTCGATATTGGGGCAGGTGCTGTTTAACATCTTTGTCAGCGACATGGACAGTAGGATTGAGTGCACCCTCAGCAAGATTGCTGAAAACACCAAGCTGTGTGGTGTTGTGGACACGCTGGAGGGAAGGGATGCCATCCAGAGGGACCTTGACAGGCTGGAGAGGTGGGCCTGTGAGAACCTCACGAAGTTCAACAAGGCCAAGTGCAAGGTCCTGCACGTGGGTCGGGGCAAAGCAAGGTCCTGCACGTGGGTTGGGGCAATCCCGAGCACAAGTACAGGCCGGGCAGAGAATGGATTGAGAGCTGCCCTAACAAGAGGGACTTGGGAGTGCTGGTGGATGAGAAGCTCAACATGAGCCAGCAATGTGCGTTTGCAGCCCAGAAAGCCAACTGTATCCTGGGCTGCAGCAAAAGAAGCGTGGCCAGCAGGTCGAGGGAGGAGATTCTGCCTCTCTAAAAGAAAATCACTTCTAATAACTTACCTGCCCAGGTGTGATAGCTCTTGCTGGCTTCACTAGTGTCACCCACACACTCCCATCTTGGTTCAGAGTCAGCACACAAGGCACTAGAGCAGAAAATGGCCAAGCATCTGCCAGTTAATCCTTATGTTCACATTAAAAACAAAAACCTTCATCACTAGGTGAAACAGATGTAAGTCAAGGTACTACGGCACAGAATTCTTTTATAAAGACACTACAGAAATAGAAAGGCAAGCCAAAACATTTCAACTATTTCTGCAAAACTACACTGAACACATTACCACAGTTTCACAAACTGAGTAGAACAAAAACCAAACCAAGGTTTTATTACCCAGTGCCATCTGGTGCCGAAACCTGAAATTACATTCCATCATCTTCTCTCTAACGAGCTCTGCAGGAGGTTCCTCTGCTATCCAGTGCACTCGGTTTGTCCGCAACAGGTCTCTGTACAGAGCAGGGTGATCTGTTGATGGTGCCTTAAAACAAGACATTTATTTAACACTGATGTTTTTGCCAGAGAGCATCTAACTTGTAACGCAAAGCATGAAATACAGAAGAAGCATCAAGCCATATCAAAATGAAGGCAAAATGGGTAAGAAAGCAAGCATTTATTAACACTTGATCCGCTTTCAGGTGGAAGCCTTTAATGAAAAAAAACAGGCTAAAGCAAGCTAGAATTGTCAGTCTTCTACATCTCACAGTCATGTCACTTCTTGTATTCTTTTTCCTTCAATCATATTTTTGCCTTCTTTAGGCTGAGTTCAGACATCTACTGCCCTCCTTATCTGACCTCAACAAGATGCTACCTCCCTCTTCTCCAATTTCTCAACTCAACACCGCTCCAACAAAGGTGTTACATACACACAACCTTACTATAGGGCCTAAAAAAAATTTCTTAGTGGTCCCATCTCTTTCCTCTCAACTCTCATTTGATTATGATTTTTTCCCCCCAGGCACATCAACAAGTAGCAGAACACCTCATTATAATCACATCAGTATCAAATAAGAGTAACAACTGCAAGAACAGCAAGCAACATTAACAATGCTAGCAAACTGCAGAACTCCCAGTCATCTCATATGATCAGTCATTAAAACACCAATTATTTGCAGTATTACATTTATTCTGCCTCAGTTTTCAAAATGATAAAACTGTATTACTGGCTACTACTTTTTTTACTAGAAAAAAAAACCTATCAATACATAGTAAACCAAGACAATACACATTTTATATACTGTGTGATAATACCTACAATAAAAACTTCATGTTTTAGAGTAGAAAATGAGAGCTCAGTACATTGGCTGATTCTTTTCAGTATTTGCCCTTTGTTTGGAAAAGTTCTATGCCAAAATCTAAAACAATTTTCTATTCAAGAAAAGCCAGTTTGGACAAGATGTTTCAAATCTGCTGATGCAGCACTAGTTGGTTCTTGTTTCCCTCAAGAGGAAAGCCAAGAATTCTGCCCAGGTTAGAATCACATTCCATACAGCAGGAGTCACAAAATGTTTGCATTAGTAATTTGCAATATCAGTGTTAATTAACTCACCACGAAGACATCTCCAGTGCTGACATCTTTGTCTACAACGAACCAAGCATCCCTCAGGCCTGCTAGTCTAGCCCTCTGGCCTATTGTGTAGAGGAACCAACCTAAAAAAATACAAAACAGTAATGTTGGTAGCAACTTTCAACATCACTTTCAGAAAAATATGTACAAATAATTTCCCCCAAACTCTACCACTAAACAAAGAATAACGAACGACATTGTCTTAGGGAGTGCAGCAATTACAAACTAAACTAACATCTTGAAAGTTTTCATCTGTAACTAACACACATTAGTTTGAACTAATCCGTTGCAATTGTGGTGTTAGGGTTTATAAAAGACACACATTTCTCTGTTTCAGCTTCAATTTGTGGTTTTGCTACCACTCAGTCTTACCAGTTACCGTTACTTTTATGTACTAGTAGAACATCATAGAATCATAGAATGGTTAGGGTTGGAAGGGACCTTAAAGATCATCTAGTTTCAAGCCCCCTGCCATGGGCAGGGACACCTTCCACTAGACCAAGTTGCTCAAAGCCTCATCCAACCTGGCCTTGAACACCTCCAGGGATGGGGCATCCACAACTTCTCTGGGCAACTTGTTCCAGTGCCTCACCACCCCCAGGGAGAAGAATTTATTTCTAATCTAAATTTGCCCTCTTTCAGTTTAAAGCTATTACCCCTTGTCCTGTCACTGTACATCCTTGTGAAAAGTCCCTCTCCAGCTTTCTTGTATGCCCCTTTTAGCTACTGGAAGGCTGCTAGGTCTCCTCAGAGCCTTCTCTTCTCCAGGCTGCACCACTCCAACTCTCTCAGCCTGTCTTCATAGCAGAGGTGCTCCAGCCCTCAGATCATCTTCATGTCCCTCCTCTGGATCCGCTCCAATGGCTCCATGTCTTTCCTGTACTGACGACTCCAGAGTTGAACACAGTACTCCACTTCCATAAATTACTTGGAAGAGGAACTCAGTTCTGGCAGCTAGAACTGAGCAGAGCAAAGGAAGGACACACAGAGGGAAAGGAAAAGGTAAGCTGCCCACATTTGGGGATGTCCTATCATGCATCACTGAGGTGCTCGGTGTATTTTCTCTGCAAAGTTTAGGTACTAAAGAATCTGGAACTGAAGTACAGTCATTTTGAAAGAATTAAATGAAAAATGGTCTCTTGGTATTAAATTAACAACCACTTAGTATCAACGAAGTAACCCTATTAATTATAATTTACTTTCTTGCAACATGGAACAAATTATCAAGAATCAGTTGTAGTTTGAGGATCTATTATTGCATAAAGCAAGTTTTCCACAATCATTAGAGTCATCAAACTGGGAAGAACCTGTAGACTGGTTTGGAATTTCAAAAGATTTGTCCCTCCAACTATAAGCAGTATTGTTCCATTTATCTAAAAGTAGTTATTCAGATAGGTTAGCCAATTACCTTTGTGTTTTCCCATCACCTTCTTATCTTCAATGGAAACAAAGTTACCTGGTTGAGGTTCTATATACTACCAAATAGAAAGAGATTGGTTAAGTCACCAGATGGCCCAAAAAAACCTCACAGTGTATTTCAGGTTCTGTCACTACCTTCTCTTGAATTTGGAAAATAACTTTTCAAGAAGCAAACTCTGCCCACGCAGCTTACGGCCTCTTCCCTAAACTGCTTTAGACAGAAAAGGAGGAAGGGCGGTGCCTATCAGCAGTGATTCTGGGCTTCACTCCCCCCATGCTCACTTATGCCAGGAGCCAGCAGGATTCAGCCATTTGCCCCTCTCACATCCCAACCACTTGTCAGAGCCTAGCACACACTCCTTTTGCTACAGAAAGTGACTGACTGTCAGCTGGTGGAGGGGCAAGATACTTCCTACAGGCTGTTGGCATTAGCTTCTGGGTAGGCTGGGCACCTCAAAGGGAGGTGGGACATTGCTACTTAGTGTGGGCCACAAGCTGCTGGAGATTTTTCTGTAGGCGGTGTTATAAATCACTACTGAAAACCACAACAGAACATAAAGATTGTTGTAGATCTCATGTTGCTCACCTCAAGAAGGAATTTTTCAAAGTTTCTTTCACCAATGAAACAGACTCCCATACTCTGAAAAGGAAACATGGTACTGAATCCATAAAAGCAGAGAAAAACAGCTGAAATAATGTCTATTAATAATCTGTCCAAGATGGATTCCCCTCTCCATGTATCCCAGCCTATGCTAGGCATCTCATAAAATAAACAAAATAAACAAAACGACATCCGCTCCGATATAGGTAATCTAATTCTATACAGTATCAGTGAAACCTGTAAGTACAGAAGAGAAATAACAGGAAATAGAACGCATGTTCAATAAATAAATACATTAACCTTGGCGACTATATTGGATGTATATTAAAAACAAAAGTCTCTTTCAGATTAAAGTATAAAAGTAACACAAATTATATCATAATCACGTATCTCTTGAAAAAAAAACACATTCAAAACCAAACAGGCTTTCCTTTTCCTTTCAGCTACTGTCTACATTCTCCAAACACCCATTTACAGTGGACGAATACAAACATTAAAAGCAATCAAGACAGCAGCACCAGCAATACAACTGCTGCCTGCATGACATTTTTTTCTTTTTTTTTTTTTACAATCAACTCATGAAGTGTCAGTTCTTAGAGAAACAGAACTTTCATTTTAAATGAGTAACTGTAGAAAACCAGCACAATCCAATTTCCACAAAGACATATTGAAAAACAATTACAATGAGGAAGCCCTTAACAGCTACGGAAAATAAATACTAAAGGCTTCTCACCTGCTGTGATAGAGAATGCTTTTCTTAAGGCTCACAGCATCCTAACATATTCACCTTCACCTGAGCTCTTCTGACATACAATGGTAGACACATTATCTGCAAGCTAAAATACACAACTAACCACAAGCTCATAGAAATACTTTTAAGCAAGCAGACAGCTATAAAACTGCTTCCCAAACTCATTCTATTATGGTGCTTGGAAACAGACCAGTTGTCACAGACTGAAGTTCAAAAAGTTCAGGAAAATTTTTTTCAGAGAGAAATACAAATCAAAAGAGTTTAAGTGTTACCATGCCTCTTTTTTCTTTAGCACGTGATGAAGGCCATGTTCCGCTGCTATCTTCTTTACAAAACTTTTTGTTAAATCCCCCAAAGGGAAAATGGTTTTCCTCAAAGCATCTTGTGAGATCTGGCTTAGAAAGAAGGTCTGGTCCTTAAAGAGGTCAGCCCCTTGAAGGAGTTTCACAGCTGCAAAGTGCAGAACACATAAAACATCTCAACATAACCCCCTTTAATAGTTCAACTCCCTTTAGCATTTTGTTTGACAACCAACGTTTTAGTTTTATTATTTCCAAATACATGTTAAAGACAGTGTTTTTCAGGTTTTTCAAAAACTAATTGAAAATGTGTGAGTTTTTTCTCACCACTAAAAAGATCTAGAAAGATTCCAATTTTGTACAACACTAAATCTTACAAAGTCTCACATTGTCTCTTCTGTTACAATACTGCACATGTCACTGGCAAGAACATCAACATAACATGAAAAACAAAAACAACTTTCACATTGCATGTGAAAGAGAATGAAGATTCCAATATCTTAGAGTATACCGTTCTTCAAAGAGACATGCGGTTTTGCCCTGAAATCACCCTGCTATAAATCAATGACTTGAACGATCAGCAGAGTTATTCCCAATGCTCAGAGAGAAGAGCTTGACTTTTTTCTTTACTATTGGTGAAATAAAATTGGTACAGTTTTTCATTCATGTTCTGTCCACTCTCTTTGAGAGCTAATAGCTCTGCTGTTGTACAAACTCTGCTTATGTGTTTCTTGACTCAAACGAACGCTAACTACAGGCCACCAGTTCAGTCATAACTAATAATATAAAATCTCAGTAACGAGGCAGGAAGTCTGTTTAGAACATCGCAAAATACTGCAACTGTGAATCACAGCCTGTCACAAGTACAGACTGTTGGTCCTGCTGGGGCCATTTTGACTTTCCAGAAATAAAATTAAAGAAACAAACAAACTCCTTTAAGTCCAGAACAAACAAATGAAAGCAGGGAAGCTGTAACACAGAAACATCACCGTGACAGAGTGGCGGTTTGCAAGTTTCTTTCCCTTTGGGCATAGCATACATCTCATTATACATCAGAGTTTCATCTGAGTTACTTCACTGCATTATGACCCACGGCAGAGCCATTTGGGAAATCTCTACATTACCATTCAAGCTGCGATAGTGCCATGCAGAGACATACTCAAAACAGCATTCATCAAGCTGGCTTTGGTACTGATAACAAGAGAAGGAAGCACTGCGGTGCTGAGATCAACCTCTGATTATGTACAGCCACAGGCAAACTATTAAAGTGAAGAGCAAAACCTGCACTGCTGCTACTATTATCTTTGCTGACCTGAGAATCATAGCCTTAAAAACATCTGCTCATGCTGCACTTGCACTTTTCAATTGCAGTGTAGCCAGAACCTTGATCTACCTGGGAAAACCAGGTAGGAAAACAGAGAAATAAGGCAGAAGAGTTGAATTACTGAATGAGAACCTAATTTTTTCCAGTAAAATAATATATAGTCCAATTACTGTATAAAAGTATGTTATGCCTTTTCATGTTTCAAAACCTTAATTCTAAAATTCCACTTGTGCATATCCTTATGACGAGTTCCATCTATACCATATACTGAATTCCCTAAAATAGAAGAAACATTAAAAAAGAAAATTTTATGTAAGTCATGGAAATACTGATAAAGATTTCTTGAAATACTTTTCCAGGGTATAGAAGATAGCCCTGTCTCCTTAATCTACATTACAGCTCCTTCAGAATGTTGATTACTACTGAAACGCTTATTCTTACCTCTGCACCTGGGTTAGAACTCTTAAAATAGAAAATGTAATACTGGACTAGTCAGGCTAATTTTCAATAATGTAATGTTTTGTGGAATCAACCTTCTATGAAGGCTGGGGTTTAAATGATAATCATTGTGTGTAAGGTAACAAACTTCCCTGATTCTCTGTCACCAAATATAGTTTAAATTTCTCTTTCACATCCAGGATGAAATATGAAATGAAGAAACCACTTACTATTTCTAACTTCAAAACGGTTTCTGAAAAGCCTTTGTGGTCCTTTAGTGTATTTCTGTTGAAACACTTCCGCATCCTCCAGTGAGGTCCTAGCATAATGCCCAGTAGCAATGGCATCTGCTCCTATCAAGAAAAAAAAAACAAAACACAAAGGCGCATACTTGAAATTCACAGTTTAAAACAGGATTATAAACATCCAGTAAGAAAAGCAAAAAGTAATGAAGGAAGAAAACCTATAGAGAAATCTTATACTGACAATAATCACACTCCTGCTATTTAAATAATTCGAACTATTCATCAGCATGCCAGCACATGTGCTTTTGTACTTTAAGGATCGCTTAAGAATGTAAAACTTAATGGTCAGGTCAACTCAGGTATGTCCCTCAATTAAATTTGTTCCTACGTATGAGCAACCTATCTAGTGGAAGATGTCCCTGCCCATGGCACGGAGGCTGGACTAGATGACCTTTAAAGGTCCGTTCCAAGCTGAACATATGCATTTTCTGTAGGTAAAAGCAAACTTGAAACTTTGCAAATATTGAAATACTGCGACAGAGATATGTGAATTAGGCATGCATAGGAACTGATGTTTTTCCCCACCTTTTCAAGAGTTTGTATCCTTTAAGCATTTCCACGGCACACACTCTGTACTGACACACTTGAAAATGCCTTACCAAGGTTATCCATAGCATAATGAAGAAAGTAGTTGAATTTGATGTGCTTGTTACACACAATATCAGGATTAGGAGTCCTTCCCAATTCATACTCTTTTAAGAGTTCACTGTAAAATAAAGATTCAAACGTATATCAGCATTATTAACACTGCATAATACTACCCAAGACTGCAAGATCTGTTTAAACATGAGAACTTGAGACCCAGTCATACTAAGCATTTTATGTAAGAAATAAAATACTGATTAGATTTTAACCCGTAAAAAACAACGCTTGGAAGATTTTCTCCAAAGTGCACCGAGGACACAGTCCAATGATCACTCACAATCTTGTAACTATGTTTTATTAAAGTAATAATCCCTCGGGAGACATGGCTACCCACAGTGCACATCCTACTCATCTCTTATGAAATATTTACTTTCAGAATTAAACACCACCATTTAATTTTTCAAAGTGACAGTGCAGTGGAGTACACACCAGGAGTTATTTGTGGTTCACCTGGCCGGACAATAACTTCATCTGGAACAATGCCACCATAAGCAGTTACGGGCTTAATTCTATAAAGATTTTTTCCCTTTTTTTTGTTCCTTCAAGAAATTCAAGTAATTTCTCAAAGTCATGTTGTAGTTTTACACTGTCGCATAATTAAGTGCTTAGCATTATTTGCTTGAAAACACTGAAATAATAACTAATGAAATTAAACCAGGATACAGTGATGCACTGACAGTGACGCACTGCAATATCAAAAGGCCTGATCACTGTATTATTTTGCTTGTCCTCATTAGTCACGGAAGTCGAGGAACCAAGGGCACAGACCAGATTTAAAAGAACACCAGTGACCCTAGTATTTGGTTTTACTTTTCACCATCTGAAACAGAATCAACTGCTTCTTCCTTACCATGTCATACATTAAATTCATAAATGGAAAATAAAGCAACAAAACTTTGATTCTGTCTAACTCCTTTTTAACAGTTCTGAATTCAACAATTCATACTACTGATTAAATCACCTGGGTCTACCCAGAGCTGCCTCCCCTCTTGCGGGCTCAGCACTGTACTCTTACGATAACACAACACTCCTTTGTTAATACTGCAAGAGTAAACTGGAAGCTTCATAAAAGACTCAGCATAAAGCCAGGCTCACATCAGTTCTGAATGTCAAGTAAAGCATGGAACCAGAGAAAAGGCAAGGAAGGCTGCCTGCTGAATCTCTCTGATGTAGAGATCTGAAGCAAACTCCGCACAAACCATGGAAAGACAAGACCTGGAATAGGTCTCTTGATAAAAGATGTTTTTCTGATGAATAACCCTTTAAAGAGAGATCCAGAGGAGATTCAAGGTCAGTGGTGACAGTAAAGAAAAAAGGATTATGAAACAAACCAAGATACTTGCAACAGATTGTTTGGGAAAACTGTACTAATAAACGATGAGAAGCAAAACAAAAGGCGATCATCTAAGATCTTTGATTTGCTGTCGTGTACAGACACTCGGCACCCCTCTAGTTTTGAGAGCATCTATTCATTCTCACATCAAGAGGGAAAAAACAAGTTTCCCAGAACAAAGCTGTTTCTGTCACTGACTGTACAAAAGTTTAGTGCTCAACTTGATGTCGTTTCAACATGAAGTACCAGTAGCACGGCTAGGCAATTCCTCAATTTCTTCTGAGACAAGGTAACAACAGCACTACTGAAATGGGGATGATGAAGATTAGATAACAACTATATTTTATATATATACATCTATGTTGAGTGCATAAATTATGTTGTTATATGAGTACTTCCCGGCACTTCCTGCCTGCCAAGAAAAACTCACCTTTTCCTATGTAGAATTTTCTTCCCTTAAAGGGGAACAAATTCACAGAAAATCTGAAGACCTCCTTTAGAGAACAGTTTCAAATTTGTTGATATTCATGATCACTTTATGGTAAGCTGGATTCGGTACACATTAATGTAAAACGCACTGCATAAATTACACGCAGACAATAATAGCACCCCGTAAAATACTTTTTCTCAAGCTGCAATAAGGTCAGGCCAGTATGTGGCAAGCAGAAAAAAATGAGCTGCAACAAAGCAACTTGCTACATGCTCATACTAACTAGGAAGAAATCTCCTATTAATTTCGAAAATAACAAACATACTAAAACCAACATATAAATTCTGATCTTAAATATGAATGAGAGGAAAATAAAAATCCTCTGATATTTAACAGCCTTCTGACAACACTGTAACAAACTGCCACTGCCCGTTATCTGTCCATCCTTACTTTTCACAATAACACGGTAATACACTGACATACTGAAAGACCACTTATTTTAAACATGTTTCTACCTGAATACTTCATTCCAGTATTCTTTGACGTAGGAAACCTGGTGAAAAGGAATATCAAGCTTCTGACAAACCCGGTAAGCATCTTCACAGTCTTTGTCAACAGAGCAAGCTCCTTGTTCATCCAGAGGGTCCCAGTTCTTCATAAAGACGCCTGTCACCTGGTAGCCTACGGAATGAAGGTAAGAACGAATGACTTCCTACAGCCTGGACCCAAAAATTGTGTTTTTCAATACTTGAGTAACTGCTTCCTTCAGAAGATGCGAGTAGTCCTGCACAGAGCAAAAAGCTGCCAAGCTTCACAGTGCAGTCACTGTATGACGGGGTTTTTTTGTCGTTGCTAACAGCCAACACAAAAACGAGCTCCTCCGGAAACCTAACGCGAAGGCATTCCACAGCTCCGCGTTTCTCCCATCCCCTCCGTTACTGCTCCC